GACTCAATTCTTCTAGTACGTTCAAATGACATTATTTGCATTTTATTCTAAGAGTTTCCTACGATTCTTATGCATATTCTATCTGTTTCTTTGATCTTTAAATCAGGATATCATTTATTATTCAATTCTTGCATATATCATCACATTAATCTCCATCTTGTTTCCTTTTTTTTCCAAGGGACATAAATCTCTACTGACGTGATTTTCTTATTCATTGAAAGATTTTGCTTCTTATAAGAACTATATCCTGTTTCTATATCATTCATAAAAACAAAACAAAAGCAATAATTATTATTAAATTTAATCGTAAATTAGAGAATTTAAGACAAACAATAGCTATAAATAGATGCATCTATATAAATATTGTTGTACAGGTTTAGGTATAAAAAATTCATAAATAAATATTTGATGTTTATTTTAAAAATAAGTAAATAAATAAATAAAAATTTTAATATTTTCTTTTCATGCAAAACAGGATCATAAAAGAAAATTTTGCATATTTATTATGCATAAAAAGTGAAATTCTTCTCATAATCACGAGTTAATCCTTAAATAATCTACAATAAAGCAAATGCCAAGTATCACATGACTTTTAAAAGAGCCAAGAGCCATTATATTTTGCATAAGTATGAGATCCGGACTTTCATCTACCTAAGATGTTTCTCCAGATTAAGAAAGGACGAACAGACAGACGGACGACAATGGGAATTTATAAGTCTACAATTTTTATAATTATACAAATAAAAATCATAGATATAATTATTTTTATGGTATAATTTTTTTAAAAAAATAATTACAGAAATTTAAATTAATTTTTANTTATGGTGTTTTTGATGATTAGAGGTTCAAGTCAATCTGAGTGTTTAATAGTGTATCAATAGATACGGCGAATTGTTTGCGACTGTAGAGTGCCAATTGAGAGAATGAGAGTTGCTACTTTTTGAAGATAAGTTTTTTTTTAAAGCGACGTAGCTCTTTTAGAAAGAGGACATGGAATTATTATTTAATCTTTTAATAAAGTTAAGGATTTGTTTTAGCAGGAGTGGGTATAATACTACTTAGTTCGATCTTCATACAGTAAACTGCCACCGATTTGTCAAGTTTGAATACTTTTACTTGGCGAATAAAGATGCATTGGATTTGTTCAATTTCTTATTTAAGGATCATACACCAACATTAAACGTGTCAAAATTATTCAAGATTATAAATTATTTATCTAACAAAATGAAATTAATTACTTTACATCGATATATTCCAAAATTTGATGCATAGTGTCATCAATCTGGTATATGTCAATACGTAGAAACCATGTTGTGCTTTACAATTAACTAATTTATTTTTGTATAATTTAGTGAAAATTTTGTCTTCGCAGGGAAATTAATTTACATATAAAACAGAATACTTCATCTTAAAAAATTTTAAATACACAAGGATTTTATAGGCATTTTATTATTTTATTATAGAAAATAAAACATTAAAGTATAATTAATATATGTCTGCTTTATTCAATTTAATTTTTAAAATTTTGTTTGTAAAAATTATTTTTTTCTAACAATTTTTAATAAATATTTCTTACTTTATTTATATTTCGAAATTTTTTTCCATCGTTTTCAATATCTCATGTTACTTTTTTTTTATTTTTCCTTTCTTGTATCTGAAAAATCATGTTTTACACAAAATTCCCATAAGTTTTCGTGTATAAATATTACATGTTCGGTTTATTCTTCGAGTTCCTGTATATTTGATAAACGATTTTCAGGAATTGACATGTTTGGACATGTTTTTTCCCGTTTATTCTTGTCATTTTTTGAAATTCCTTTATTACTTTCTACCAATTATGCATACATATCGCTTGTTATACGTTATTAAAAACCTCAAATTTAAATTTTCTTTTAATAAAATGCTGAAGTTATACAACTTAAAAGGTTCGAATTGAACAATATACACATAAAACTCTAAAATATTTTTATACTTAATAATAATTATTAGTATTTTATTAATTAAAATGATATAAAACTTTATAAACTATCATTATTTTTGTTAGAAAAGTCAACTCAGATTTAAACTTTCGAGTAGCTTTTACCAATGAAGTAAGTGAATCTCATCTTATGCGGGCTATATCTTAGCTGGTAGGATTTTAAAAGAAAATCTAGGAAAATGATTCTCTTCAAAACAACTTTAAATGCGATTGTGAAATACTTTTCACTTGTTCCGAAGCTCTTGTACAGTGAAAAAATAAAAGAAGATAAAACTAGATTAGACGTTGCTGCATATCTAGGAAAATCTTCTCCTGAAAATCTATAAATCTTAACTTTCTATTCACTTCTCACTAACTTTAATTAAAAGAAAATCTCACTTTCTATTTTAAAAGAAAGCAATGTTTCAATATAGAAATTAACTTTCTACTTCATAAAATTGCTGTATTTAAAAACAAAACACTTGTCCTTAAAAGATGAGAAGACAATTATTCTATTTTTAGTTTTTGTAGGGATTATTTGGAAAGAATTAACGGTTATTTTTACCCTCGACAAGGTCAAGAATGGCAGGAAACTCGTCTTTCGTTCAGGTAAAAGACTTGTCTTCTAAGTAGATATGTGTGTTACCTTACTCTTAACTTATCTGCTGCAATCAGTGAGTGGTATTGATGCCTGGCTAATATAAATTAGTCAAAATATACGCAAAAGAATATTCCAGATGGATAATATTCTGATAAACAAAAGAAAATTAGAATGACTAAGATATATTTTGATAGTAACGACTATTTATTTATTTATATATTATATTAATGCAGAGGTTACCAATCTTTACCATGTTACTATACATAAATATATATGCAACAGCCTGTTGTATAATTTTTAAAAGGAATCTTCCTACATTTATTTGAGATGCAAATCAATTTTTTAAACTGGAAAATTTTCATCGACCCTGTACTAATGTATACATTCAAGTTAATTACAGGTATAATCAGGCATTTTAATTAGAAAAAATAGTTTGATTTTTGCCATTAAAGACTGAAAGAAGCTGAAAATTGAATAAAATTAAACATTGAAATATTCTCTACAAATTTACGAAAAATTTCTATTATTTATATTAACTATTGCTTATTGAATCCAACCTTTCNTTTAAAATTAAAATATTTTTAAAATGAAAGATATACAGGAAGGCCCATATGTCAGTTAACTATATATATTCTCTAGTCTTTACAATGGTTGACTGACTTTTGGACCGCCTTGTATACAAATAACTACTAAAAATGTTACCATTATACACTAACTGCTCAGTTAATAATATAAATTTTACCAATTCGTTAAGATATATTTAACTAATTCATTCTCATTAATACAGAATTTACTACTATAGATTCAATAATGATATCCAAGAGATATAATTTACATTACAGATAAATTGTAATAATTGAAAATAGTTAAAACTAGTTATCAGCTGTTATTGTAGAGCATATAATTGATAATTACTTATCATTGTCTCCCTTCATATGTGTATGTTGTTGTTTCCTTATAGTATATAATAAGTTCAGAAACAAGATAAGTGTTGATTATGAGTCAAAGTAATTTGAAGCTATCGAATCCGAAGAGGAAATAGTCACTTTCTATACCAAGTTCTACTAAACGTAATAGGGTTTCTATCGAAATAGATGAGTAGACAATGTTCTATCCCAATAATCCTGATATTTCTGCACATTTCCGGCTCTATCATATCTAATATTTACTAAGATAACTGATATACGTTTCAGTTTATTTAATCGAATCGACATTTGGCTGATACAATATTTGTACAATACATATATATATATAGTCACCCCTCCATTAATTATTCTATTTTACATTATTAACCGAGTTTAATTGATAAGAATGTAGATTAAATTAACTTTTATATAATCTTTTTTAAGGATTATATACTTTGATTACGTTTTATAGCAGATATATTACTTAAATATTTGCTAAAAACTGTCATTAATGTTGAGAAATCGCAATATATAATGTCTGTTGGAATTCGATCCGAAGATAGTTTGTCATCCCTTCTGCAAATACTATCCTCGAGTAATAATATTGATCCAACAGAAGAAGTAAGTTAGGTCAACAAAATTTGAATATTTTACATCAAATAAATTTATTACAAACTTTTCAATCTGTTTCGTTTTTACTTATTTTACTTGTTGAATTTTTATTTTAAAAAATATATAAATTGAATTGTTGTTTCATTGGAAAAATTTCTGTATAAAAATGTAATAAACGTATTTATTAATTTTAACAACGCACAAATAATGTAATTATTAAGAATTTAATTTCGTAAGACATTAAAGAATATTATAATTGGAAACAGCATCGTCAATTAAGAGTTAATGCTAAGTTATGTTGCATATTAAATATATTGGGCTGCAATTTTCAAATTGTAGATCTATACATTCTTCCATTGTCGTCCGTCTGTCTGTCCTTCGTTAATCTCGAGAATGGAGTTAGATAGATGAAAATCAAGACCAGATGTGANAATTTATAAAATTTTAAAGGAGAAAATTGTATTTTAAAGTTATTTTAAATTATAGATCTATGAGATGGATGAGAAATTTAAGATCCTTTAGAATTTTGGATGTTGACAAATGTAGTTATTTTTTCTTTTTATTTTGCATTCAGAAAGCCATTGGTGTCGAAGTGGCAGACTTAACGATTTGAAGCATCCACTTGACACACAAGATGTGACATGGTGGAAATCATGTTATTGTAAGAAGGGAGACTGTAGGTACATTTCACGCCATTCTTTGAGAGATATACAATGTGAGAAATTTTTGACTAAGGTGTATGGTTAAGAGCAAGCAGTTGTCATTCACTTGTCGCCATGACAACCGGGAACGTTGCGTGGGCGAAAAATATAATCAATAAGTAACAGCCAATGTTACAAACTGCTCGTGTATACGAGGTTGGTGATATTGCCATTGTGACAATTTTCAATTGACAATATATATATAAAGAAAAGATATTACTTACGATCGTTGAAACAGAGTTTCCAAAGTCCCGATACGGTAAATTTGGACAAATATTCTCTGTCACCAGTTCCGTTGTATTTAGGATTGGCCATTAATTCTTCACTATGCAACCAGCAGTTAGAACATAGGGCGATGCCCTGAGCTACGAGTGAAATGATAGCTGACAGTAACGACAGAATCCTTAAGCATCTGATCGAGATCTTTGGCATTGTTTGTCAGGTCGTCGGACCACAATGGTGATGTGCTTCGTCCAGGTGAAGTGTCGAAATTCCGACACCACCTTTCTTACTTCCCGCTTCCAAGCAGCCAGCTCGATGCTGTCCACTCACGGTGTCATCCGAATGCGGACAGCAAGGACACAGCTGGAACGTACCACGCCAACATCACGACATAACCCCACTCTGATCAAGTGACACACGTTCACTGACACTAGATGTGCTGTGATGCTGCTCGACCACTCAGCCAGCTAGCTACCAGTGGATGTTGCGGATGGATGCGGCAGTTCACGCTGAACGTCCAATGAACAGGGGTTGATGGGATACAGGATGGCGGTCGACGTTCGACAAATACAAGTACAGTTCGTCTACCATCTTCCTCCATCGCTTAACTAACTTTCAGCATCATTTGCATCCGCATCTTCTCTTTCCTCTCCCTCATCCAGCATCACTCATTACATTTACCTCAACTTTTTCCTAACAATATATATATATAACGATAAGTGTTAATTTAAAGCACAAATAAGTCCTGTAGATGAGAAAATTTTTGATTTTTCATTCAGAACTGCGATTTTTAATTGANTTTAAAAAAAAAAGCGTTGATGCGAATAACGAGTAAAAACGTCATTAAGTCCAACCCCACGCGATCCTCTCTATCTCCTCACTCTCTTGACCTTTAACAACCAAAATTTGAAAGCCTCAACCCCTTTAACACTCAAACCTCTTTGCAAAATTTTAGAAATTTTCGACAAAAGGCACAGGAGTTATTAAGCTTCAAATTGGTTGAACAATATCGTGTCCCCACAAACACTAACATACAGAAACCCCACAACATTTTTGCATTTTTCGACGTTTGAAGGTCTACTGAGTGTAAAAATGTAAAATATTTGGTCATTTTTGACCTCTCTCCATACTTTCCCTCCGTTATATTATAATATAACGGAGGAAAAGTATGACGATTTCAACAATTTTCTATAATACTTTTTATATAACAAAGGGAAAGTTGTATAGAAAATTGTTGAAATCGTTTCTGTCACTAAAGAAATTTGATAATCTTTCTGTTTAAATGTAAGTATTCGTGGAAAGAAATCGCACTCATTTTACCGGCAGCAATTCATCGAAATCGACGATAATTTCAATGAAATTAATGAAGAAAACTCTTTTAAAAAAACCACACGGAAATTTATTGAAACTTAATAAAGCAATTATAAAAATTTATTAAGATCTTAATGAAACTATATAAAACATGTGACAGTAAAATTCTTCCCAAAACACTTTCTACTTCGAACAATTAGACTTAGAGTATTGAGTTTCTTGACGTTACGTAAAAATTTTATCTAGGGAAAAGTTTTTCATTGGTTGTGTCTTCCCTCTCTCGGGTGTAGACATTGTTATTGTTCAGGTAGTCAAGTCAGGATCGCAGCTAACTGCCATCCCACTGTGAATAGTACGACTGGACTTTCCGATCACACGCTGATTATTATGTGCTGCACGTATGAGAGCAGATGTTTAGATGTAGCCTTACATCGAGAAAAACATGTTGTTGTCTTGTTACTGGCCATGAATCCCTAAATAGTTAACTAGTTCTGTTCATCAGACTTATTTTCTCGTAATAGTATTAACCGCAAAAGCTTCGTAGAATTCATTCTCGAGAAAATTTTCGTCGTATCGATTTTCGTGCTAACTTTTCCACTGTATTTTAAATAATAGATAATAGTGAAAATATGAGGCTTTCCTTTAAACAAATTTAACTTTAATAATGTATTTTTTATCCTCTTTTTTATATTAATTATAATTATGTAATAATTATGTTTTTAAAAGGCGTGAAGAACTTAATTTGTTAGGTGATTTTAAAAATTAAAATTTTGACATTGATTGGTATCCAATAAAATAATTCAGATGAATTTAATTATTATATTATTGTTTAGGTCAGCAGCGCAAGTAATAAATTTCTCAAAAGTGAAAGATTTTGTATGAGAAAAATAATTTAAAAACGAATGTAAAATATTCTTTTGATGAAAATAAAAATATATATAAAAGAGAAATTTTATTATGTTAAGATTTACATATTTTAAATAGGAAGAAGAGTCGTAAAAATCTGCAACAAAATCAATGAACTACAAAGTATCATTCAGTAGAGATTCTTCATTGAAACTCAATCTACTTGCCCTTAATTAATACAACTTTTTTTTTTAATTTTTTCACTTTTAGGAACAAGGTCTTTTAAATTTCGATTAGCTCGACAACTCTACATTGATTTAATTACATCTCAAATCATTAATCACACTCAATTCACCCCATTCCCCATGAGTTCTGAATTCAATACGTACAAGAAATGCTCCCTATTTACTTAAAAGTAACCTATTCTTTAATCAGTTATTTTTATTTTCTGTACGATAAAACGTGTTTATTATTATATAATTAAAGGAAAAGTATTAATTACAAGTTATTTTTACATAATTAAAAGTTATTTTAGACATTAAGAACACGTGGAAGTACTTTGAAATAGTATAATTAGACTATATTTTTATTTTAAAAAAATAATTTTAACTACGAAGCTGATACGTGTATATGCAATATAGTTGAAATAAAATTATATTTTAGATATTTCTCATTGTTTCTACGTGTTAATATGCTATATTTATTTAAAAAGAATATTATTTTATTATACACGTGTGCAAAACTTAAGGACGTGCGCAACTGCTTTAATCGAAGGATGGACCAATCTGTCCTAAGAACACCTGAATCACTTGGTGAAGAGCCTGACACGATGTTGTGAATGCTGCAAAGCACTGATAATATCGTGTAAGACTCGTCACTCACCAATCAGAGTGGACATATTTCATTCTGACAGGTCTCTGTACATGAGTATTGGTCAGCATTTCACATCCATATTCCACCTATGTCCAACTACTGTATGTATCATTTTCACCAAAGACTTACTTTTATTCCTTTGATTTGTAAAATCCTAAAAGTTCTGGATTGCCTTTTTGCTCTCGTTGTAGAGACAAAAAAAAGGCAATTGCTTGAGAGAACGAATCATACAGATGGAAACACGGGCTTTTATTGGTTTCTGAGGATAAAAGCCTGTGATCCCATCTTAGTTGTGTTCCTGTATGATTCGTTCTCTCAAGCAATTTTATGCTTACTCATAACAATCCTAGTTGTTGTTTATTATCCCGTGTTATACGTCGAATAATACGCTCACTCCTTGCTATATTTGTTGCATTCGTCTACAGTTCTCTCTATTCATGTACAAGTCCTTAAGTTCTGAACACGCGTGTACAGAACGTGGACCCTAATGTGGCTCAAAAGTCAGTTAACCATGGTAAAGACTAAATTGCTGTCTTATCCAAGTACTTAAATATCTAATAATAATATATTTTATGTTTTTGACATTGTTCTAAACAGGATTTATAACAATGTCAAACTTAAAAGTAAAAGGCAGTTAATTAACTTTTGGGTCATTCTTATTTACGGAAAGGATTGCAGTATTTATTTATTATTCTTTCGTAAATTTAACGTTGGTAAAACTTATTTTTTTAAACAAATATTGCAGAAAATATATTTAAAAATTCATTATAATAGGTAAAAACGGCATATAAATTATACTAATAAACAATAAAAACTTATTGCTAATTAGGAGTAATGAATACGATAAGTTAATTATAGATCTAATTATCATTTTGGAAGAAGTGATAGCCTACGTGACAGATTTTTCGATATATTTTTTAATATTGTTAAATTAAGAAAATTATATAAATGAATTATTTAATTAAAGAAGAATGAAAGTTTATGGTTGAGTAATGGTTCCATCATTCATCATTAATATTCGAAGAATCCGACGGTTTTCTTTAAATGACGATATATTTGGATAATTCTCGATGCTCGTTAGATAATTAATCTTTAGTTAAAGTAAATTTCTAGTAACGAAAATGGTTTCTAAAATAATTCATATATGGACACAACTAATATAAGTAAGTCTATATACACTGTAAGGAATTCAGGACATTTCTTCATTCTCCAGGAGAAAAAACGTTGATTTATTTGAAAAACTTTTAAAAAATTTATTTTATTATTATTATTTTACAAATTTTTTGTTAAAGTTTTATTTTGATCTTTGAAATTTCCGGTGTGTAACTTGAAAAAAACGAAATTTCTGCTTGATGCTATTGAAAAATCTAAGATTAGGAAGCGCTAGGAATTGCATGGTCTGGAAACAATAAAAAGTAAAATCTATACCGTTCATAAATTCAAAAATACTACTCTAAAAAACGATAAATAACTAATTTATAACATTGCTAAATAAGAAAATCTAGCAAAGAGTTGCTTAACTTTCCCGGCAACATTTAAAACTGCGTGTGTGACGCCATTTGTTATGATATTTTATTAAATATCTTTTTTATATTTTTAACTATTATAAAATAACAAAAAGCTTAATTTTGAGGATAAGGATGGGTTTTATAAAAAATTGTAAATGCTAATAACGAATAAAGTTGTCATTAAGTCCGACCCTACTCGAGATGTGGCACACGATCTCCATTATTTTCCTAACCCCCCTCGATCTTTAACTACCAAATTTAGTAGCATCATCCCTAATATACAGACATCCTTGCAAAATTTCAGAAATTTTCGACAAAAAGTACAGGAGTTATTAAGCTTTCAAACAGGGTGAACAAAGTCGTGTCCCCCCACACACACTATCATCAATACATACAGAAAAAACACCAAACTTTTTGAATTAATCGACGTTTGAAGATCCTCTTAGTCCAAAAATGTAAAAATCTTTTTTAGAGAAATAATTTTTTTGACCAATGGCCATACTTTCTCTCTGTTATATATAACAGCCGGAAAAATAAAAATTGTATTGTGTTGCTAAGTATGAATAGAAATATTCAGATATAAAATATATTTCTGTACAAATATCATAATATTCCCATTAAAAACATTTAAATTTCTCAATTTTTACAGTTTTTAAAACTATAGTTCAATAGTTAAATTGATACTGGATTTTTTTTTATGTGGAGTTCAATAATTACTTATAAACATTGATTTTTTAAAAGCATTCCATTCTCATATACATATATATGTAATGATTATGGCTAGGACATCTAACAACTAAAAGTTACATTAACCGTTATCAAAATCATGTTATAAAATTTATAACTATTTATGCGATGTTTAGTGCCAAGATATCCTTACAATAGT